CATTTTACTGTAAGCACCACAAAATGATAAAATCATCCAAGCCAAAAGAAGCAAACTACCTCACACCCAATTCAAAATTGCAATAAATATTCGTTTTTTCCGACCTGTATTTCAGCTTTAAACTTCATATCGTCTAAATTAAAACAAACATAACGTGTATAATACATTAAAACGAGAGAGTGCACACGCACCTTTAGTTTCAATGGCACGCCGAATAATTGCAGTGTCGTCGCTCGCATTGAAGTTTGGATATGGAGTGACTGTTCCATAATAAATAGGTTTATCCTTATCATTCACCTAAAAGATCAGCCAAAATACAGACTTTAAAGGACTTTAAAAAGTTTATTCGCCAGCCAGTAAAATTCATATGAAATTCAAATACTCAAGTAAGCAGACTTGGGTGCAATATCCTCACAATATGACTCACTTTGACAGTGTCATCATCGGAGTTTCGGGAGAAAATGTCCTTCAAACGATCGAAGAATGGCATTTTTGCTTGGATGAGAGACTCAAAAACTGAAACAAAACTGTAAAGAGAAAAGTGTAGAGGGTAAAGGTATGAAATTTAGCTCTGCAACCACCCTGACACTTCCTTTAAATCTCATTCTGTTTAGTCTTCTGTGATTGTTAGCAGCAGGTGTGTCACAGGGAGGAGCCACAAAAACGGCAACTCATCACAGAGATCACACTTCCACAATGCTCTACCACAGACATACATACATACTCTGTTTTAGTCACTGTGTGTTTTTATCCACTTGACAAATATCTTTTTTTCTTTTACAGTATTTTTGTAATTGCCATCTAACTCCTGAACTCTGTTGCTGTCATTTCCGTCCTTACTCTGTGGCTAAACTGTCCTTCTCATTATAACGCTTGTCATTAAGTTATCTTTTTCCCCTTTTTTATCCTGACTCACCTTGAATTCCTCATAACAATAAGAAAATGGGAGTTCAAGTGTTTTACATATCCAGCAAGAAACCCTCACCTGTGCTGCTGAAGACCGTCCTGCACTCTAGCTCGTAGCTACTGCACTGTGGAGCTCACTCTGCGGCGTCTCCACCCATCTCTGTGCATTTTCACCTGCAGAGGTTCAGCCAATCATGTCATACCTCTCAAATTCTTTTGAGGCGAAAGATTCATATGCCTCTGGGACTGGTTGGACAACTTTTTGATTCAGACTAATCTGTACGTGTTACACTTTAATCAAACCACTTAGTTGAAAACAGACACACAGATTTTTTTGGACAATTATACCTTTAACTTGGCAGTGTTAAAGGTAAACAACATTGTTGATACCAATCAAAGAATACTGTCAGGTGTAGTCTACATGAAAATGTTACTTAACCATACCTTTGTGGCACTCCCTTAATTCTTGCTTGAGTTTGGCACCTTGAGTTGCAGTGCAGGTAATGTAGGGAACAGGTTTTGAAAGAGAAGCATGTATATTAAAAACACTGCATTTGGTTCTGCTGCATTCATTTTAATAGAATGGTTGTTAGAGGAGGCCTAACCACAGCTATATACTTTGCTCTTAATTGTTTCTTGTTGGTTAATTTTCTTTCACTTGGTGGAGCTCAGTGGGGGGGTTTTTCTCTGTGGTATCAGAAGGTTACCCTGCTGCTATAGATATAGTTTCTATATCAATAAATCTGTTTTTCCTACATGATATTATAAAATTAGAGAAAAGTAACAAAGTAAAAAGCCAAACAAACTCTGCTGCCAGTAGTAGGGGGAAATTGAACGGCAAGTATGGGAACGTGCTGTAAGGTATGAGGATAATAACATACTATATAGAAACATATATAAAAGCAGTTGAACTGTTGTTAAGGTGTTAGTGAGCGACTGGTGTTTTTCCGTGTCCTCCTGTGTTTCCCCGCATCCACCCCTGGGCGGTGTCCTGGCCACTCTTGCTCACCTGCTCCTTGTTCCGTGACAATCAGCGTGGCTGCATTTAAGCCTGGCGTGGTCATCTCTTCTTTGTAACTCTGTCAGCTACCTATGGTGACAAGACGAGTTCTCTGTAGTTGTATACTGACATCATTTCCTTGTGCCAACAGCTTGCCCTTGCGTCCATTTTCAGCCTGACTCTGTCTGCAGCCTCACACAGGCCTCTCATCAAACCTTATTAAACTAAATTAACGCAGTGTACTGTAACTCAGGACATGGTATTACTATAGTACATCCATACATAGAAAACATATTACAGTATTAAAACTAGAGAATTACAGTAATGCAATGTATCATCAGGTCATGGTATTTCTAGGTTAACATATTGTAAAATACAACATTGCTGGCAGTAGCCTGATGTAAAAGTGTAAGAAATACAGGAATCAGCTGTAATTTAGGCCATGTTTTGACATTAAAAAAATGTAACAGATAGAGATACAGATAAAAATAGATATGGTAACATCTTGTAATTAATATGTCATGTTTTCAGTATTGCCAGACCAAAGTAGCAGACTACTATAACAGATTACAGATTATTACAGTGTCCGCTCTGGCGCGGCTGGCTTCCGGCGGAGCAGGCTCATCACTGCAGCCCCTGTTGCTTCTGCACCGCAGCTGCTGGGTGACCCCACGTCTCGGGCTCTCCTAAGCGGGTGGCACAGTTGCCCCTCTGATGGTCCTCCTTGGGCTCTCGCGCTCTGAGGGCCCATGCCTGCTTCATGCCCTGGGGGGCAGGGCTATGGCTGCCCACATCGTCTTGCAGATCGTTACATCGAGAAACCTTTTGAATACAAGCGCGCTCACACACACAGGTGTGCACACAGGTGCAGACATGGGTGCTCATAGGCGCAAACTATATTTTTCTTGGCTCCTACCTCAAAGCACATTGTGCGCTGTCAGTCTTGCATGCTGCACAATAATGTTCAATATTTCGCATTTACTGTTACTTATACTTATCGAGGTTATTGCTGTGGTGTTACGTTGATTGTGTTGCTCTCCTTTTGCTTGTTTTCTTTTTTTTCTTTCAACAGGTGATCCAGCTGATTTGTTTTTTTTGTGTCTTCTCTCACTGTCCCTCTTCCCCTCTGTTTTTCTTTCCCTCCCTTTCCTATACCCCAGTCATGTCTGTCCTGCCTGTAATAACTCAAATAATTAATAATAAATGTTTCATTTGATTACATTTTATATGATGAATTATGCAGAAAAAGTAGAATTGGGCTGTAAGATCTATTGCTTTGTTACCTATTCAAGTTGTGTATCATGTTTTTAAAAAGTAACTAAGTAACTAAGTAACTAATTACTTTTGAAAATAAGTAATCAGTAAATTAACGGGATTACTTTTGGAAGTAATCAGTAATTAGTTACAAATTATTTTTTTCAAGTAACTTGACCAACACTGGTTGCCACATACTGTAGAGTAATGTAGGAAAATTGCTTCCAGTAGTCTACTGTAGAATAAATGAACTACACAATAATCTGATCTGTGGTATTATCCTGTAAAGTAGATTACACTACAAGAGCTAAGAGTAGGCCATGGTATCATTAGGATAACACAATGAAAAACAATACAACAGTAGAAAAAATATTAAATTAAAAGCTACACACAGCAAAATGTTGCCTGTAGTCAACTATAAAGGCCAGTAAATACAGAAATATACTTTAATTTAGGCCATGAAAATATTACCATACCAGAGTGCAAAATACACAACAGTAAAAGAACTGTAAATTTAACAGCAGCATACTGTAAAATGTAGACAATACAATTATGCATTATGATTAAGGACATGGTTTTATCACACTAGTGTAGTGTAATATATATAACAGTAGGAAAACTGTAAAGTTAACTTTAATACTGGCAATCATGCTGCTAATAGTCAGGAAGATTATAGCAATTTACTGTAATCGAGAGCATAGTTTCATTACAGTAACATATTGCACTATACAATATATACTTGTATGAAAATTGTAAATAGGACTATTTATTTTTTCCCAGTGTATTTATTTTTTTTATGTTCTTACAGTTTTACTACATGGCAATCAGTACGCATGAAAAAATAGAAGCAAACAAAGACAGTAAGCTAATATTTTACAAATGTTATTTTATAAATGTAAAATAATTTTATTGGAAAGCCAGTCTCATACAATTAATATAAAGTCAGTGTAAATGTAAGAAAAAAATAAGTGAAAATCTATAAAAGACATCGGAAAATGAACACACACTGTTTCTGCCTCAAGTAAATGAATGTATGTCTGTGTTGTAGGTAGATTATCTTCAAAATCATTACATTATTTTAACATTATTAACAAACTGATATTAAATCAGTGGCTAATATGGCTACTTCTATATAGTTTAACAGTTTGTGCACCCTTACAGTTAGGTGCAACTTAGCTTAACTGAGTGTTGAATATTATTATTTTCCAGCCAATCAGAAACAATGTGGCTGCATATTTATCTTTAACCACGTCTGTTAAAAAAAATTCAAGATGAGGATGGCCAAACTGTTAAAATTAGTGTTAACATCCTTCTTTTGTACACAGCCTATGACTTTTTTTTAAATAACTGTGGACACAGAATCATAATTAATGTCGCTTCAGTGCCATCGTCACAATGAATGTTGCAACATCAGTAAAATGATCACAAATGAGAAGAATTTGCCTCAAAATGAAATCTAAACACGTACAAGACCATAAACTAGCTGACAGCAGATGGGCTAACCCCTTTCCTCCATCCTCAACTTTGTCTTACTATGAACTTTTGCTTTCTTTATATGACTATATGACTTATATATGACTATATATGACTTTCCCCATTTTTCCTCTCCCTTTCTTTGTATTATTATGATCTAGACATGACACCAAAAACGCAATGTCAGATATACCAAGTTTAGACAGAACCAAGGGACATCCCATTTGTGTCATACATTTGCCTGAAAGGGCTAAATATGGTTGCAGTGTACCCACTAAGCAAACATAGATGAACTGTACTGTATGTTACAGATTGTAGATTCAAAATATCCAAATATCTTTCCAGCTGACTTCAAGGAGCTATTAAAAAGTATTTAGTGAAATTAAGAAAGACTGAGGAATGAAAACCACCTGCAGGAACATCAGTTTCTCCCACTATTATCTCGGAGGGGGCCCTCTCCCACGACCTCGACCCGGTCCAGCACCTGGACCTGGCCCAGGTCCTCTGGGTCCAGGTGGCCTGCTTACTGGCCCTCGAGCATTAGGGTTGGACGACGCTAGAGCCACATCTTTCTGCAGGTTAACACCTTTACCAGCTGTCCCGGGTTTTGTCTTTGTTGGTTTTGGTTTTGGTTCTTGCTCTGGTGGTTTTTCTGTTCAGAGAGAGAGAAATGGTTATTGTCCACGTTGTAGTATAGTCAGAGTTATGCTTTGAAAGTCAACGCTATCATCAGGATGTAGTTCTGACCAGGCTCTGGTGGAGCAGGGGGAATGAGGGATCGGTTCGGTAGAAGGTCCTCCAGGTCTTTCATGACCTGGTTGGTGGTGTCTGCATTGTTCCTTCGATTCTTCTCTTCATCGCGAGCCTGGATTGAAAAATAGAGTTAGGCATAATAGTTTTGGAGGTTCTATTAGATGCACACAATATATTGCTGAGCCTGGTCTTTGAGTATGATATGCTATAAACAAGAAAAGTTTGGGAATTCCAGCTGGCTTGTTCATTGAGCAGATCTTTATGTGCCCTGAGGTGAAAATGAATGTCTCTACCAAACATCATGACCACTATCACTTGCTATGATCTGATATTTTAGCCTGTGTCTGACATTTTTGCTAAAAAGGTATTAATCCTAGACATAGTTTATGCAGTTCTCAGCTCTAGAGCAAGAGACCTATTCAGCACGTGTGCAGAATGAACTTTGGACTTTTTCTACACACCATCTTCATCTTTTTCTTCAGCTCCATGTTGGAGTTTTGGTATGCCTCAGATACTGAGTTCAAATAATAGATGGCGAGTCTGTGAAAGAGATAGGACAGGATTAATTTTCTTTTTTAGTGGCTTCAAATGAAAAAGTGGGATTTTGAGTAATTCTACACCAGCATGTAGGCCAGAGTGTGGTTTTATGGGTGTTTACACTCACACCATGAGAAGTACAGCTGGTATAATGAGACCGGGGTTAGCTGCATAGCTAAAGAGTGTTCCCATGAAGGCCGGCAGGTCCAGGTCAATCGTCTCCATGATTATGTCAAACATCTTGTCCTTTCCACTGCAAACAAAAACTCACTCGCTGCATTTCATAATAGCAATATAATAGCACTTCATGTATCTTTTTTTTGTATTAATATCTGTGCTTTTTATCACCTGAAAGGTCCACAGTCAAACGAAGGTGGCAGCGTCATGATGGTGTAGACAACAGGTAACAGGCTAAGGAAGAGCACGAGGAGCAGGAGACCCATGTAGAAGTTGTTGGACTTAGAGGCCTTGAAAACTCTCTCATGGGGGACGTTAGTGGCCATCACAGCCCAACACTGATAATACATGGAGCTGAGGAGGCGGAGCACATTGATGCCCACCAGCCCGGGGGCATAAAATGCACCCATCCTTATATCAAAAAGGATCAAGTGAGCAGGTAAATACCAAAACAAGATTGATTTACCACCAGAAATAGGTCAAATTTAAAAACACTGAGTAGGAAAAGATATATTGTAATGATCACAAAAATGGTTTCTCAGCTTTAGAGTGGCTTGATAAATACAAGGGTTGCAGGTCAGTGTACATGAAGCTCATAGGTAAAGTAAAGTTTGTACCAAATCATGCCTTGATTGAAGACCAATCCAAGAACATTTCCACTGATGTCAAACTCGCCGTATGATGGCTGAAGTGATCAGAGACAAGTATTAGTTTCACAGCAAAACAGACTAGTGGGCCATAATATTTTTCAGCTAACTAAATTAATATAAAGGCACCAACTCTTGTCAAGTGGCCATGCCCCTAACTCCAGTATCCAGATGGATGAGTTATAAAAGAAATCATGAATCATTTTGAAGGATGAAATTATCCAAAGAATGTTAAAATCATTTTTGGGTGTAGCTGTAACCATGTTTAGTTGGGTATCATACATGGACGTCTACAATATTGACTCGCTTCTGGATTCTGTCTCAATTGGTCATTTATAGGAAGTGCAGTTATTGACCACTTACCTAATCCACTCAGACTTTGTTATAATCATTGGTAGAATGGCTAATAGTGAATCATTCTACAAACTATCTACTAGAATGAATGCAAGAATACAATTTTACATCAAGTTTGGTTTCATTTTGAGCCTGGTTCTTCCAGACGTTTCTTCCTGTTAAAAGGGAGTTTTTCCTTCCAACTGTTGTCAAGTATTTGCTCAGAGGGGGTCATCTGCTTTTTTGGGATTTTCTCTGTATGATTGTAGGGTCTTTACCTCACCTTATAAAGCACCTCGAGGGGGCTGTTGAATTTAACTGAAACCTCTCTTGAAGTGCCAGTTTTTTTCATGCAAATCCCTCAACATTCATGAAACTACCAATAGTACCAAGGACACTAGCAAAAAACACAACTAGAGAGAAATCCATTTGGATGGATAAGGTGAGAGCCAGTGTTTATGGCCACCACCTGCAAGAACATTACTTTTATGGGGAAGTTGTCTTTTTGTTTTCACCTCTGCACTTGTATTTTTTTTTTCACATTCATTGGTTTATGATGGTTTTATAAACAATGCTTTATAATTCCTAACCAGAGAGATTAATATTTTTAAAGTTTAACAGACTTTGTGTTTTACTGTGATAATCAAGTGTCTTATAAATTTTTGTTGAGCAATGTTTCATCAAATGCTTAATTCAAATATCCAGTGTCTGGTATTCCTAAATAAAATCCATATTATTACATGTTGTTTTTACAGAAGACATATCGACATCTTATAAAAGCAACAGGTGTGACTGAATGATTGCTTGATTCCATTTGGTCCTAATTTGAGGCTCCTCTTGTGCACGCTGGCTCAACATGCTATAGCTCACTTTGTAAATGTGAAATGTCCCCTGGGTAAAATGCCTCTTCCACCTCAAAATTTACTACAATGACCACAGATAAGAAGGAGCTGTGGAGTGTTTACATTAATTTAATTAAGAGACTTACAAATCCAGCCTCCAGGTCCCAGCACCAGCAGTAGTTAAGGAAACGTACAATCACGGCTCGGGCAAAGTCACCAATCAGGATGGTTAGGTAGGACACCTGGATGTCTGACACGGTCAGCTTCACAAACTCCTGGAACAGCACAGTTATACATAAATTTTAACACCTCTAATTCATGCCGTTAAAAAATTCACCAATTTTTTGGCCATAGTTTTTTTTTTTTTTAGGTCAAAATTCTCCCGCTTTCCTGTTAGCTTGTTAGTTTTCTGTGGTTGTGGTTTTACTTGTGATTGAGATGTTTATTATAAATGAAAATAGGTTGTCATTTGTACAATGCCCACTGCAGTCTCCCAGCATGGTCCTCTAATGACATCAGCTGGATCCATTGGAGGCGGGGTGGCTTCTGAGTCATTCATCAGACGTGAGTAGTTGGCGTAGTACTCCTTCATGGCCCAGATGGAGGCGTTCTTTATGGACTGCTCTTCCTCCAGCTGAAAGGAACAAAGAGGAAAATCAGTCAGTAAATTTTCACACGGCAGACGTATTGTTACAATTACATGGGTATATAACTCAAGGCCACTATAAAATATTGGCCCTATTTTATACACAATGGAACATAAAAACATAAAATGTTTAACCTTTTCATGCATAGTGGTCACTACAGTGTTCACTACAGTGTTCAGCTATTCAAAAGCTGTTTTCTTGTATTTGTGTCAGTGTTGATGATATACTTGCACATAAACCACTACATTGGACACTGATGTGTCACTCCATACCCTGCCACCCACTGGTCGTTTAGTGTTACTATAGATGTATGACGTGTTTCATTGTAATTATTGTTATTTAACCCTGTCATGCATGAATTATGACAACCCCAATCAGGATTTTTTTCTTAAGTATTTTTATGCATCGTTTCATGCTTAAAGATTAATAAAAAAATACTCAAGAAAACAATCCTGATTGAGGTTGTCATAATTCATGCATGAAAGGGTTAAACTCAGACTTTGTAGGTGTTTATTCAAATATTAGCTCATTTTGAATTTGACAGCAACATGTCTCAAAAATATTGGGACAGGGTACAAAAGGCAGGAAAATTAAGTGGTGCTATATACAACAGCTAATTAAGTTAATTGGCAACAGGTCAGTAACATTATAGGGGTAAAGATAGGCAGACATTGTCCATCCATCCGCTTCCACTTCTCAGGGTTGCGGGGTGGGAGGCAGGGTACACCCTGGACAGGTCACCAGCGCAGGGCTAACACATAGACAAGAGACAACCAATCACACTCACACCAATTTAGTGTTTCCTATTAACCTTTCTGGGGAAATTTTTGCGTTAGCTCAGCTCAGCTGCATGTCTTTGGACTGTGGGAGGAAGCCAGAGTACCTGGTGAGAACCCATGTGAATGCAGGAAGAACATGAAAACTCCACAGAGAAAGACCCGGCCTGATGGCGGAATTGAACTCTGGGCCTTCTTGCTGTGAGGCAACTGTGCTAACCACCGTGCCATCATGTTGCCCAGCAGACATTGTTAATAATTCAATTATGCAATAATCTACAGTACATAAATTCATCAAAAGATTCAGAGAATGTAAAGAAATTCCTGTGTGCAAGGAACACGGTCAAAATCAATACTGGATGCCTGTGATGTTTAGGCCTTGCTGCATTACAAACAGGTATGATTCTGTGAGCAGCTGGTGTCCTCAGTTCCCAGATGTTTACAGACTGGACAGGATGCTACCCAGTGATAAATATGGCCTTACGCCACTTTTTTCTTTTTAATTTTGTCAGTTTCAACATTTGATTATTTTTATGTTTTATTGTGAATGAAATATGGGTTTGAGATCATTACATTCTAATTTTATTTGCATTTTAAACAACATCCCAGTTTCCCAGGAATTGGAGTTGTACATGCATTGTTAAATGTAAGATTTAGAGAAGCGCTAATGGATTATAATGACTAAGGGTGTACACATTCAACCTTTAGAAATCCAGACAAAATAAATAGACAAGAAGAGTCTATAAAGTTTTGCTAGAGAACCTTAATTGGAAAAGATTCTCATTCAATTAACAGTTTGCAATGTAGATGATGTACCCTAATGTTTATAATGTGCAATATTTATTTATTTGTACAAACTGCAACAGACAGAAAAATAAAATGTAAATCTTTACATGAGAGGTAAATTCTCAACATGACCAGTGAATTTCAGTAACATATGTAACTATTACTATGTCAGTGTGGTTCTCTACAAGGTTCAACTTTGGTTCAACTTTACCATAACAGAGATAAACGTGCTACTGTCTAAGTGGACAAATTAAATGGAGACAACAGCTGCAATACCTTGGTGTTGACCTCATCAAACAGGGCGAACAGAAACGTGTAGAGGTTTCCAAGGAAAAGGGCAAAGATGCGTCCGAGCTGCCATTTGAGGGCGATCCGAGGATGGTAGTCCTCCAGCTCAGCAATGGTCTCAAACAGAGGTGGACACACCAGGCCCAGAAGAGACATGACAATCTCCATCTGAAAAAACGGTCAAAATTATGCATAAGCTTTTTAAAAAAAATCTTCATTATCTTTATATGAACCGAGGTGAAGTATTCAACAGCATTGTGAGTCTGACCATTATTACCTCATTCTTCTCGTACCAGCTGAGGTCGTCCCTTGTGGCAAACTCCTGAGATCTCTTCACCACAAAGTAGATGAGGTACCCACTGCCGCCGAGGCTACAGGTGATCAGGAAGTTAGCCAGGACTCTGAGGAACCTGCGCAGGTGGATGTTCTCGTCCTTCTGGTTCTCCTGCTCGTCCACAATGGACTCCTGTTCTTATCAAAACATGAGGGGAACTGACTGTCAGTAAAGCACTTTTTTATTATAATGAGCAGTTCTAAACCCTCAAATAACTAAGCTATTATAGAGACTAAAATCACAGATAAGGTCATTTATGATGCCATTATATTTCATACAGGAATACAAGTTTTATTGGCCTTATTTATGTTTATCCTCACTGTTTACTTTATCTGTGATAGAGCTAAAATGTTCTCATGTCATTAATTATTGTTTTAAATTACATTAATGCCTAAAGGCTTCACCAGCAGTAAATCTTGCTAATCTGGGTCTGTTAGCCAAGGATCGCTACAAAACATTATAAACATCAGAAGCTGTAAATTATAATATAATAATATGTAATAATATGATATAAAATAACACATATATTTTGCACAAGTTTCCTTGTTAGACCTATGGGTCAATTCCTGTAAAAAATGCAAAAATATTGTAAATGAAGTAGATTGGATGTTGTATATATTCCATATTGAGCATCCCAAAGGCTTTAGGATTGCTCTGGTTACCTTGAAACTGGTGGTGATGGAGGCGTACTTGTTGTCAGCGGTCTCCGCATTGCCAATGAGGTAATCCCAGCTGGTGAACATCTTCCAGGCGAAGGTGAAGTCTGAATCCTCCCCATCTCCACCACCAACGTCAGCATTTTTGGCCATTCTACAAGCAAAGAAAATAAAAATACCGTACCTACTAACTTATCTTCAGTTTCTACATTATTTAATGATGATGATGTCATTTATAGTTAAAGACATTTTTCGCAAACTGCTCAGCGCTTTTGGATAAAAAACAAATAAATGTATCAAAATATATCCCTGCATACATCCGATTCCTTAACTCTGCAATGAATCTGCGACCACCTGGTTTGTGATGTATGTGACTGAACCTGCACGCATCCACGCATGTACTGTACACTCACGTGCGGATCACAAGCATCAGGCTGTAGCCGAAAGTGCCAATGCCGACCATGAGGTAGGACAAAGGTAGCCTGAACTTCAGCACGCCGACGGTCCTCTGGTCGTTGTAATATCCGTAGAACAGCACTGAATATTTGCAGTACCCCTGAGAATGGAAGAAATGTCATTTTGGATGCCATGTTTTCTCACTTATCTCCTTGCCTAT